TTTAAGATCAAGGTTAGCTAATTTGTGAAGAAAGGTAAACATAAAGCAGGCGTTTACCACAGTTTTATTTTGCAAAGTATAAAATGCTAATATCTGATGATAGCATGTAAATGTTTAACAAAAGAGTACAAATTGATAAATATCTATACTTGAATATGAGGTTTAGCTCAAAGTTTTAAAAAATGGATTGAATTTAAACAAACTTGGTTAAAATGTCATGCAGTCTTTAGAAATACAAATGCCGTTGAACAGTCTGTTACTATGTTCCGTTTCTCACCTTGGATTTCCATTTTCCTCAGTGTGAGAAGGTACTATGTAGTCTCTGGGTCTTTAAGAAAACTGTGTTCTTTCTTTTCCAAGTGGTCCAGCAGGCATTTATGAGTCTGACAATAGTACATAGACTCAACAATTTCTAATATAACTATAGGGTGTGCACTCAACTCTTGTAGTTCATCAGGGGCTGCTTCTTGCTCTCAGGTCCTGTGCCTCTTTCTCCATGAACATTTTCAGGCATTTAAGTACTATGAAGTCACAAGTTATCAGGGATACATAGTTTTGGAAGAGTTTAGGAAGCAATCTACTGTGAAGGAAAGCAAAGTAACCTGCGTTCAAAAATCTAGTTTCCTGTTCTGCGGGGAGACCTGACCTGGTTTGTAGAGACAGATCATGGTCTGAAGGTGAAGGGTGGACTGGGTACTGGGAAGTATCACAGCCAGAGAATATCAGTTGCAAAGTTTTGAGGTTGGAGAAGAGTATTTCATACAGAAGAAACAGCAGATACCAAGGTCCTGAATAAGTACAGTAGAGGAAATGAAAAAAAAGTTAATATGGCTAAACTAAGAGAAAGGTGGCACAAGCTGAGGCTCACAGGAGATTGTGTCATGCGTTCAATCTCTTCAGGGAAGATGCTGACTTTCTGTAGAATATCATTGTTTAACAAGAATACAAAATGTCAGTAGGGGATGATAAAGTAATAACCCAGATGTTTTGGCACGTTGAGGTGATCTTTCAGGGACCTTCACTAAATCAGTTTCTGGTTATCACTGGGTCCTTGAATGGGGTGATGAACAAAAAAGGTGTCTTCCCAGGTCCAAGTAAAGGAAGATTATCTGAGATTCTTTTTCTGAATTTTTAAAATATTCTTATCTATTCTTTCACATTAATCTTAAAATCACTTTAGTAGGTTCTAAAAGAAACTCTGTAGGGATGCAGTTTAGTTTAGTTATTAAAAGCATGACCTTTGAAGTCTGACATCTGGTGTGAGTTCTAAGCTCTTCCGTTCACTAGCTGAATGACCTTGATAGAGAAAATTATTCTTTTAGCCTTTTCTCATTTGGGAAAAAGAACAGGTTTGGAAGATCATTGTGAAGACTGACTAAGAGAATATGTATTTTTAATCCCAAAACATACTACTTTTTTTTAAACCTTTTATGTTTCTCAGTAAAATTTTATTTTAAAAAATGAAGGTCTGGGACTTCTTTCATTAGGTTTCACTCTGAGTTTTTTGGTGTCTTTCGCTTGTTTTGCTCTTTGTGTTGCTTGATGTTGCTGAATACAGGTTCTGGTAACCTAAGGCAAGTTACTTAGCCCTTTAAAATCTGTTTCTTCTAAATTACAAACCTCATGGTATGGCATGGGTTAAAAGAGGAAATATGTATGCACCACTTACCCAGTGGGCATTTAATAAGTGATTGCTGCTGGTGTTATTGGTAGGTTTAATGGTTTAAAGAGCTTCTTACTGGCAGGGGCTGACTCTTTATTGTCTTTGTTTCTTCCCTCAGCCCCTGCCTCCTAAAAGAGAGCCCAGGTAATGGCAGCCATGCACCAGGTGAGCTGTAGATCCCTCAGTTCAGCTTTTCAGAGACCTGATTTGAATGAAATGGGAGGTGATTCTGGCAAGCCTTAGAGCTGAAGCAGTAAGAAGACTCCTGTTGATTCCCTCCAGTAGAACTGGATACTGGGAAAAGAGCTGGTGGTGAAGGGCTGAGTAGCCAGAATCCAGAACCAGTCCTGAGTGATCAGGACAGCATTTATAATGATGTCAGTGACTTGTAGAAGAATTAGAAGAGGGTGGGAGCTCCGAGGAAGATGATGTATCAGGGAGACAGTCAGTTAGTACTATAGAAGATGGAGACAGGAAAGAGTATCCTGGAAAGCAGAAGTACAGTTTTCTGCACACTGAGAATCTCTTGCTAGGCCAGAGAGTCCCTAGATTCAGTAATTTCCTTCTACAGAGGGATTTGTGGAACTCAAACACAACTCATACTTGTGTTGGGAGGAATCCAGATAGGTTGGGTGTGATCAAGGTCAGCAAGGTCACACACAAGGTTCTTAGGAAGTGGTGGCAGAGGGACAGCAGGAAGAAGACCAAAAAAAGGAGGAGGCCTATATCATTTGTCTTCCAAAAGAAAGAAGAAAGTTTGGGCTTCAGAACCAGGAAGCATATATCCTTCTTGAGGTTAGTATCACTGGCTAAGTGAGGCAGTGGGCTGTGATAGGAAAATCTACACCAGGACAGAACACCTGAAGTTAGGGATTCCATTAAGCCTTTGGCATTGTGGCCTTGAGCTAGTCATGCAATCTCTGCATCATAAATGGCTTCATTTGTAAAGTGAACATTAGTACTTTACATTTCTAGGACAAGGACATTGATTTCTTGAATTATATTTTCATTTTTGAGATTGATGAATTGCTGGGTGTTGTTTTTATTGTTTATTTCTTCTTGGGATTTATTTATGTAGTATTTTAGCATCCATGAGCCATATCTAAAGTCCCAATCCCAGATGTTTGACATCTGTCAAGTTTCTCTGACTGTCTTACTGATACACTGTATTCCTTGGAGCTCCCACACTCTTCTGATTTTTCTATTTCCTTTTTTTTTTCTTTTTGAGTTGGGGTATCACTCTGTTGCCCAGGTTGGAGTGCAGTGGCACAATCATAGCTCATTACAGTCTCGATCTCCGAGGCTCAGGTGATCTTCCTGTGTCAGCCTTCCTAGTAGCTGGGATTACAGGTGTGTGCCACAACACCTGGCTAATTTTTTTTAATCTTTTGTAGAAACAAGGTCTTGCTCTGTTGCCTAGGCTAGTCTCAAACTCTGAGGCTCAAGCAACCCTCCTGCCTTGGCCTCTCAAAGTGCTGAGATTATATAGACATGAGCCATGGTACCTGGTCACTGTTCTGATTTTTCTATAAGTCATTGACATCACTATATCACTGTCATGATCACTCAGTTTCTAGATTGCTGAGTAATTACTGACTGTTCTCCCCTGATACCATTTCTAGAGAGCCACCAAATCCTATTTGTTTCTGTCTACTGTCTCTTCCACTTGTCCCATCTTTTTATTACCCACATTTAGGGCTTATCTTGTCTTTTCTGGGATTTTGTTTGCAGAGCTTCCTTGATAGTTTCTCTGTGCATAGTTATGCAACTTCCCGTCACCTTGTACTTATCACCTGATACAGCTCAGTTTTCCAAGCTTGTATTTTATCTTCTAAGCCAGGATTCTTGATCTTTAATGTGTATCAGAGGGCTCATTAAAGTACAAATTGCTCTGAGGATAGGGCTCAAGAATTTTCTTTTCTAACAATTTCCCAGTTGATGCTAATGCTACTGGTGGTGGTCTGGGGACCATACTCTGAAAACCACTGTTCTAAATAGTGATGATTCATTGAAGAGGTTCATTCAGGAGTTGATGAGGTCAAGTTGTCAGCTGACCAGAAGATGGATTAAGTGCAGGACAAGCCTGGAATTGGAGCTGTTTAAGTGTCCCCAGCTGTTGAACTAGTGTTCTGATTGTACCATGGTGAAGAAGAGTCAGTATCCAGAAAGATTTAGGTAATAAAATTGACAAGATTTGATTACTGTGAGCAATGAGTGGTAATCAGAGCAAGATAGTCTAGGAAGAATCTCAAGTTTCTAGCATGAGACTGGGTTGAACTTGGCGTTGTTGACAGAGAGGAAAAAAATTGTCACTCACTGTGCTAATTAGTTTACATGATTTGTAAGGGAGTCATTTGGGTAAAGATGAGTTTGGTGTTGTATGGTGAGTTAGATTGTGTTGGGTCATCCAAAAAGTCTGAGGCAGTGGGGACAAGGGGGGCATGGAGGTGTGCAGGATCAGGTGAGATATTGGAATGTGGGAGGATATTCACTGAGCATTCAGGTAACCGAGTTAGATACCAAAGGAGTGAATGGAGACTCTAAACCAGATGCTAGAACTTTCAGGGAAGGTAGAGTTAGGGCCATCATGGAGGGGAAAGACTGGCTTTTGAAAAAGTAGGAGGCTTGGTTGACAGAAGCTATTACAGATCATTTTGGAGGTATAAAGATAAGCCACTAATAGAGCTACTTGCCAGCATCAATTCAATTCCAGAAGCATCTCCTAAGAAGGCCCACCAGGGGATAGACTGGACCACCGCAGACAACTCTGAGCTCCCTCTGCTAAATGTTCTTGGGCACAGGCAGCACAGAATCAGATTCAAGAATCAGATGGAGGTTGGATGAGACAGGCTTCTAGGGCAAACCATGACTCTGTTCATGTTATGTGGGCATGAGGTTTGGGGTAGAATGAGCACATGTGGGGAACAGATGGATTGGCTGGGCACTTGGAGCAGCCAAACGGGAACATGTGAGTCCTGAGGTGCCACTTGAAGCTAGGAACAACTATGAAAGACTGAAAGTATCTACAGAGTCAAAGAGATTCTGTTCTAAGTGGTTAATTGGTGGGAGAATTTGTTCAGGACTTTAAAAAATGTTATGTTTTATGACAGTACATTTTGTGTCCTAAAGGAAGCTCTTCTGGTAGTGAGAGAAGTTCCAGATTTTTGGTTGTAGAAGTAATCATGTAATAGTCTAATATCCAGTTCTTCCACCTTTCTCATTATCCATCCCTCATAGGACCCTTCCCTCAGGCCCTATTACTGTCCCCTCTACCCCATATTCTGGCCTGGAGCCAGAGGATTGGCTCTAGGGCAGCAGGAACCTGTTGTTTTAGGAGATGGTGACTTTCAAGGATGTGGCTGTGTACTTCTCCCAGACAGAATGGGCTGGTCTTTCTCATCCTCAGAGAGCCCTATACAGAACTGTGATGTTGGAGAATTATGAGAACTTGACTACTGTGGGTAAGGCTGTTTTCTTCCTGGGACTCAGAGCTGTACTTTCCTTTTATCTTATTTTCTTTTACAGGTTGGGATTGTGGTGTGGAGAAGGAGGGGTTATCTGGTATCCTCCACTGAAGGCTTCCAGGGCTGAGACTTAATGACCAACTTTAGAGATTTGCTGGCTAGGGAGAAGTCTTGGGTAAGTTTGGTCCTGATGCAGGGAATTACTGTTCCCTGGTAAGAGTATGTCCCATCCTCTGAGGGGTTCTGTGCAGAAAAGAATAAATAGAATCTGTTATCTGGGCAAGGATATGACCCCTTCCCTGTGTTTGCACAGGCCTTGCAGGATCTCACCAACTTACCTACATTTTGGGGTTCATTTGTTTTTTAAGGAGGAAATCACAAATGCTCAGTTTCCTCTTGATAAAAATCTCTGGCTTTTACCAGTCATGAGTCCTCCTTTGTGGGTCTTGTTCTTACTGAGACTCCTGGAATTTTCTTTCTTTTGACAGGACTGAGAGCTGCCATTTTCTTTCCCTTTTCAGGATACTTAATTCCCAAACCTGCACTGATCTCACTTCTGGATGGAGGAGATTTGCCTTGGGTCCTGGAGTCACAGGATGATATCCCTGCAGAGAGGACCAAAATAATCTGTAAAGGTAGGTGAGGCGGGTTTAGAACAAACAACTGTAGAGTTTTACAGTCACTGTATTTTAAAATGAGTCATACTGGGCAAGATTTAAAGAAAATAGATGATTTTACCTAATAGGTAAAATGTGAAACCTTTCTCATCAGTCTTAACTGTTACCAACATGTGACCACTCAATACATCTCATTACTATTCTTGAATTCATTGCTCCTTGCTGAGTTTCAACATCCTCCTTCCCTGGATGGGATAAATTTATTCAAGATCAGTTTTTGAGCACTTGTCATGTGCCAAGTTTGGTTTAAGACGTTCTAGAGATACAGATTATGGAGATAGATGTAAAAAGCTAAAAAAGAGAATGTACTAAGTGCTGTTGGGAATGAGAGGGAGAGTGTAGAGATAAAATTGACCAGATCTTACCAAAGGTTTGTCATAAATGGAGAGAGTTGAGTAAGGTAACACTGCGAAGTCATGACGTGGGAGGAACTTTTTGAATTCATATGAATTCAGAGTTGAGTACAGGGTGTGAGGTTCCTTTAGAATAGGTAAGTGGGTGACTGGAGCAGGCCAATAAGAAAGCAGGTATAGAGTCAGAGATAAATGTCAGGTCTGTAAGGGAACTCTACCAGTTGGGTTGAAATGACCACCAGAGAGAAAAAAGGAGGACTGAATCTTAATTACCAAGGGATGTTTAATTTCAGTGAGAGAGAGTAGAGAAAGTAGACAATCAAGTAGTCAGAGGAGGGGCACCCAGAGTGAACAGTGAAATTGAGGCAGAAGCAAGAGTTTCAGTGTAGGTGATTTTCAGAGAGCAAGTAAATGGAAGATAACAAAGTTGGGGTGACACTTTAGCCTCTTATTTTGATAAGGTTAGGAATGAAAAGAAAAAAGAGTAAACAGTAGCAAATGTTTTTCAATTTTGTTTTATTGTGACCCTCAGTAGGCATTATGTTTTTCCGGTAAACCCTGTAAACTCATATATCCTCTGAAGCCAAACTATCTGCTAACAGAATTTACCTTTATAATTGCAGCATGTGTGAATATTTTCTGTTCTATTTTTATGTAGAATAACATATTTCATTTAAAACATTGTAGTGGCACTCTGTCAGTGTTATGACTGATGGTTAGGCAGTTTGGAAAATACTGAAAGAAAAAAATTTGGATGCGATGGAGGTGATTGCTAAGATCAAACGGATTTGAGGATCTAAAGGAGGAGGTTGAAGACAAAGAAAAGAGAAGATATAACTACTAGAGCATGATGTCCAAGGAAGTGGAAGAATATGGCATCAGGGGTGATTGGGAAGTGTGAGACTTGAGAGGGTAGTTTGAGATAGGAGGACATGGAAATGGAGAGGATAGAAGCCCAAGGCAATGCGTCTGGGAAACCTTGGTTTCTTTTATCAGGAAGGAGAAGACAGTGACTGGAGAACTAGGGAGATGGAGGTTCAACTGAGGTGTAGGGAAAGATGGCAGCTTAGGAGAACTGCTGTAGGAATCCTGATCAAGATGAGTAGTGAAATGATATGGCAGAGAAAATAGGGTTTTGGGTCATCTATTCCTTAGTCCCAATTTTATGACATTTGAACAGCCTTGCAACCAGAGAGAGGAGGAGGTGTGAGAACAGAGCACCACCTTCTCAGTTGTCTTGATCACTCTTTCAGATTATTGGTTATCATGTTTGCTGCAGTTTCAGATGTCTCCTCTCTCAATACTGTCCTTCTGAGCTTCCTTAATCATTTAACTCACACTCATAGGATGAACTTAATTAACCAGATGAGTCCTAGACAACCCAACTTAATGTTAAAACAAAGTTAGCCCAATGTTTTGTATAAAATAGATTGACTTTAATGTAGTTAAAATGTCATCCAATCTTTAGGAACAAAATTCCATTTTATGGACTGCTGTTTGTCTCTTTTTTGCTATCATGAGAAAGAATACTGTCAGACTTGGTGTGTCTAAGTAAACTGTTCATTCTTTTCCACATAGGCAACCTAGGGCAGCTTCTCTGTATGTTTGAGGTTCAGACTTTGAGAATTCTGATGACAAGACACAGCAATTACCAACAGTTTTAGGGCATTTTCTCATCACCTGTAGTCCATCTGTGGACCTGCAGTGAAGAACCTCCTGACTAGGTAACCATGTAGTGTATTGAGGGTGATGTCCTCTGAGCACTTCTGTGATTTCTTTCTCTGTCTTGCCACATCCTACTGCCCTTAATGCTCAGTGTCTTCAGTGTTTTAGGACATCACAGGATATGAATTTTTTTAAAGAACAATAACTCATCCTTTGTCTTTGCTTCCTGACTCTGTTCAGCTTTACTTTCTGATTCTGAGTCTTGCTAGAATATCAATACTTGTTCTTAAAGTCTGTACTTTCTTTGGCATTTTGTTGGCCTATAAATATCATATGTTCAAAAGAGACTAGATAAAATCAGGGATGACCAGAAGTCATTCAAATATTATCAGAGTGGAAAAACTTATGAAGCAATCTGATATGTGATATGTACCTCATACCCTATTCCGCCTTGACTGTTCTCTGCCTGTGTGAGATTTGACACTTTCATTTTAACAACCTTCCCAGCAGGCTGAGGTGCAGATTGGAATGAAGTTTTTAAAGCCTTATAGTTTCTAGTATAGTACTCAGGTGGCATTTGTGTTTTCTGTTTCTTATGTCAGATGCTGAGACCAGTATTGACAATGAGTCCACATCAATACAAAGAATTTCAGAAAAAAGACATGATGTCATATGAGCTGCAAAAGAGTATCCCTCAGAGAACAGACTTCCCAGAAACATGTGAAGTGGAGAAGCACCAGGGAATCCCCACAGTGAAAAATATTCAAAGAAAGTTTCCAAGAATCCACTGTGCAAGGAAACCTTTCAGATGTGAAGACTGTGGGAAATGCTTCAGCTATTATTCTTACTATGTTAGACACCAGAGAATTCACACTGGGGAGAAACCCTTTGAGTGTATTGAGTGTGGAAAAGCCTTTAATGGCAATTCTTCATTAATTCGGCACCAGAGGATCCACACTGGAGAGAAACCCTATCAGTGTGAGGAGTGTGGGAGAGCCTTTAATGATAATGCAAATCTGATCAGACATCAGAGGATCCACAGTGGGGACAGACCCTATCACTGCAGAGAGTGTGGAAATAGTTTCACCAGTAGTTCTGAGTTTGTTATACATCAGAGAATTCACACTGGGGAGAAAGCCTATGAGTGTAATGAGTGTGGAAAGGCATTTGTTGGTAATTCACCACTAATTCAGCATCAGAAAATCCATACTGGAGAGAAACCCTATGAGTGTAATGAATGTGGCAAAAGCTTTGGAAGGACTTCCCATCTTAGCCAACATCAGCGTATTCACACAGGGGAAAAGCCTTATTCTTGTAAAGTATGTGGACAAGCCTTCAATTTTCATACAAAATTAACTTGGCACCAGAGAATTCACAGCGAAGAGAAACCCTTTGATTGTATAGATTGTGGAAAAGTCTTCAGTGCTCAGGAACAATTAAAAAGGCATCTAAGAATGCATATTCAGGAGTCTTCCTGTATATGTGATGAGTGTGAAAAAGTCTTCACCAGTAAAATAAATCTTCTTCAGCATCAAAGAATCCACACTGGAGAGAAACCCTACAAGTATAGCAAGCATGAGAAAACCTTTAGGACTTCTTCCCAGCTAAATCATCTTGAGAATATTCACTCTGGAGAGAAGCCTATGCTGGACATTTGTCATTTTGGCCTCCCAGAATTTTTTACCCCCTTTTCCTGGTAATTGTACACTTAGTTTCCTTTTGGATTTCATCTTCTACTCAGGAGTGGACACAGGCCGGACTCAGCCGCAGATTCTTCCTTCGAGCCACAGTTACTGGTTCAGATGTCAGTGGTGGTCCAAGATGACCCAGTCAGAGTCCCAGAATTGCAAGAGCTAATAGGGAGAAATACTCTTTTTTTCTCTCTCTCTCTCTCTCTCTCTCTCATTGGTTTTAAAGCTGAGTGGAGATCCTAGCTTCTTGTGGGGTCTGAGAATAAAGTCAGCACAGCAAAAGAGATAGTTGAGAATTGGAGAGCAACCAAATCATGAAGATAATGTTTGAGTATCTACATTAAACCATGTCTGGAGCTAGAAATACATGTGGGTTTTTAAATTCCAGTAGCTAATAAATCCCATTTTTGCTTTTTTGCTTAAGCATATTTGACTTCGATTTTCTTCCCTTGAAACAGAATTTTGACTCATACAGAGCATTAGTAGTGTCCTAATTATTTGAAAAGTTCTTCAGGGATAATATACCTGATGATGGAGAAATGTTTTTTGTGTGTAATATGTGGGAATATCTCAAAACAGTACTCAAACCCCATGATTTTTCTTTTAATATGTGGGGTACAATTCAGTGTTAGGTATACAAATATTCATTAGGCTGGTACCCTTGTTGATGAAAAACCCCATGATTGTAATGAGAACTGGAAACCCATTGTAACACTGGAGAGCTCAGGACACCACCAATGGATAGAATTTCTAACATCTTAAGCTCTATAACAAATATTTTGTTGCTATAAAACTATGCCTACATCTATGAATCCATTCTCAAGAAAAGTCTAACTATGAATCTGAAAGTCTTCACTCTTAATGCTTTCATATTCTATTCACTCAGTTTTTGTTGGGAATATATGCTATTCTAGGCACTAAATTGGCAAATGCCATGGTATTATAACTTGACATTTGCCAATCAGTACCTATAATAGCATGCCTGTTGTGCACTTTGATCTGGTTAGTGGGCCAAGGACTTGGTATGGTTCTCCATCAATATAGGGAGGGATATATTGATAGGAAAGCAAGGAGTTGGCCTTTTCCTTTGGGTGACAAATGTAATCTGGATCCTCTTTTTTCTCATGTGCCCTTCTACTAGCCAGTGTTGGAATCACCCTACCCAGTTCCAGACTCTACCTACTTCTTGAGTCTAGCACCTGGGTGGCTTTGCCACCCCTTCCTTACTTGCCAGCTGTTGAATGGGCAGTCTCATCATGGGCTTGGACTGACCAATGAGTAATAGACTGGGTGAATTACTTGAGTAAACATTTTTAAATGGAAGTACAGCATACACATACAAATGCATGAGTCATGGTTGTACAACTTGAATTTTTATTTTTAAAAAAGGGTGAAACATAGCTTTTTAATTGCCAAGATCAAGAAACAGAACATACCAGCACCTTATAATATGTCTCCCTGCACTGTATTCCAGTCATTCTCTCTTGCCATAACCTCTATTCTGGCTTCTGTCACCATGGGTTATTTTGCCAATTTTTGTACTTTTACATCCATGGAATCATCAACTAGGTTTATTCTCACTGCTGTATAGTATTCCGGTATATGAATATACCACAATGTATTGCTTACTGTTGAACATTGGGGTTATTTCTAGGGGGATCATTTTGAAGGCAGAAAGCCTAAAAGTCTCCCAGAAAAGAAATGGGTTAATGCAGGAACTGTTCATTTCACATGTTGCATCAGCTACAGCTGCCCTTTAGTAAGTAATAGCAGTGATTTTTAAAATGTTTTTGGCACTTAACATATGCCATGGGCCAGGTGTGGTGGCTTGTGCTTGTAATTCCAGCACTTTGGGAGACTGTGGCAGGAGGATTGCTTGAGCCAGGACTTGAAGACCAGCCATCTCTACAAAAATACATATAAGAACATCAAACACTTTACATATCACTACACATATTTGCTCAGTACAACTTTATGAAGAAGGTACCATAATTAGTTCTATGTTGTAGTTGAGGAAACAGGCTGCCCAAGGGCACAGTAAGTAGTGGAGTAGGGATTTAAGCATAGGCAGCCTGGTTTCAGTGCTCTTGTTCTGCGTATTTCACAGTATCGCCCTATAGAGGTTGCATGTAAAGCCTGACCAATGTGTCTTGGTAGAGATGAGGAGTTGGAGGAAGCTGATATGTTCCTTAGGGGTGGAGGAGAATATCAAGGTCAAGTCATCACAGAGGCTGTGTTCAGCCTCACAATGGGAGGTGGATGGGAAATTGTAAGGGAAAGCAAGTGAAGATAGAATAATAAGATATGACTAGTACAGTGTCTCAACATAGCTGTTGTGAGGGAGGTAGCATGCCTCTGGGGGCAGAGGATCTGATCTTTAGGTCTTCCGCTCTTAATGGCTGTGTAGCATGGGGAAGCTAAACATCTATACTTCTCAACACTGACTGAAAGTGGATGTCTTCGTATTATGTACCTGAACCAGAGAACTGGCACCCCTGAGTGCCGGAGGCCAGCTCCAGGGGGTTCACGGGGACCCGAGAAGGAGGTGTGATGAGGCGAGGGAAGGGAGGAGTCATGACCAGAGTTTTTTCAGGCACTCTGGCAATCAAACATACCAGGTTGCGTTTATTTATAGTAAATTATAAATTAATCATTTTTTGTGGTTATACAATCACAAAATGATTTCATTATTTTGTCACAGACACTGCATGTTCTCATGTCTTACAAGATTTATTATAAAGTTAATGATTAATACAACTTGCCCATAGACCCAAAACCAGTTTTTGTGGTTATCACTACCACCACCTGCTGGACTATTAACCTTATAAACTTAACATCCTATTTCATGAAAATATATAATTTTCTATAAGGAAAATAAAAGGTAAAAAAGGACAATCAGCTATTAAAGCAATAATATGTGGATTTACACAAAGCTTACTTCATCTATTCTAAATATTCCTAACTTATTTTTATAATTGAACAATAGCAAAAAAATCATTATTACTAATTATATCAAGCTTAGCTAGTTATATCTATTCTCACAATCTTCTGTTGTGTAATAGCTACATTTAATTTTCTTATACCATTAATTTACTTTGTAGCAGATTTTTATTTTCTATGCTTTTAGAATTAAACACCATGGGGGGCTACTACGTTTAATTCTTACCGAGAGAGACAGAGAGTTCCATTTAACACATCTGCCATCTACCCAAGCCCGTCTAACCATGTCTTCATCATAAACTCCGGTGTAAGGTAAAGGAGGATCAAGCCACGATAAATCTTGCATGTGGCTTCTACCCCTAGGGGCCCACCAAGCTCTATTATTAATATTATATCCTACATGTTGTCCTGCTCTAATAGTAGATAAGGGCTTAGGGGCTTTATTTTTTGGAGTTCCGGTCCTATGACTAATCTGATGTTTAACTATACCTATGTTATCTGTAACAGTTTTTACCTCAGTTTCTGTTAATTCCTTATGCCACAGTTTGTTTGTTTTTTTCCGAGTTGGAGTCTCACTAGTCTCTAAGTGTTTCATTTGCCATACAGTTCAAGGTACATTTTGTTGCAGTGGGTGTTACAGTGATTGGTTCTATTGACGGTTGGGTCGTCATGACCTTTCCTGTTCTTATTTGCGTTTTCTGAGGCATAGCTGATGTTGAAGCATTGAATGCTTTGTTACTGGCATTGTAGACACTGTACCCTCCAATTCTGGTTACATTATTCTTTTCAGAGGGAAGTTGAAACATTATTCCAGTAAGGCACAAGCATAACAATATAGTGGGAACAACTGGGCGACCATGAGTCACAGGGCAGCTATGCAGAACTTTCCTCAAGACTTTCCGTGGGGCCTTGCCACACACACGATCCCCTCTGGGGCTTTGTCTTCCGGGGGCGTGTCTTCATTTGGTCCCCATGCTGAGCCCCGGATGTCATGGCCTCCGCCACCTGAGGTCTTCCATCTTTGTGGTGTGGGGATTGCTGAATGAGGCTTGTTTCCATTTCTCTGGACTTGGCTACTGCGTAGTTACCTCCTGTGGTCTCTGACCTTAGTGCCTCTGTCAGGAAGCCTCTCCAACTAACTGTTTTTGAATGAGTTATGATTCATGTATTAGTTTTCTGTGACATCTGTAACAGATTACCACAAACTTGGTGGCTTAAAGCAACAGCAGTCTTTCCTCTCACATTTCTGGAAGCTAGAAGTCTGAAATCAGCTTCCTTGGGAAGAAATCAATATGTCGGCAAGGCACATTGCCACACCCTCTCAGGATTCTCTGGAGCAGAATCTGATCCTATTCTCTTCAAGCTGCTGGTGGCTTCCATCGTTCCTTAGCTTGTAGCTGCATCACTCCAGCCTCTGCTGTCTTCACATTGCCTTCTCTGTGTGTCTAATCTCCCTGGCCTCTTCCTTATAAGGACATCTGTGATGGCATCTAGGACCCATACAGATAATCCAGGATAATGTCCTTATCACAAGACCTTTAATATAGTAATACCTGCAAAAAATTTGCCATCTAAAGTAACATTTACAGGTTCTGGGGATCAGTACCTGGTATATTTGGATCACTATTATTCAGCCTACCACTGTTAGTTAGGTTTGTCTGTATATAACAAACCCCCAAAATGATAGAATTCACTACAAGATAGGAATTTATTTTTTTCATAATAGAAATCTGGAGATATCCCAGAGCAGGTAAGGCAACTGTGCAATGTTAGCAGGGACCCAATCTCCCTCGTCACTCACCCATCCTCAGTGGGCCCCTTATTCTCGTGGTTCAAGGTGGCTGCTAGAGCTCCAACCATCAAATGCTTGTTCCAGGCAGTAGGATGGAGGAAAGGTAAGAAAAGCATGCCACTTTGCTAGTAAGAAGACTTTCTGTAAGTACCACAGAACATTTCCAGTTAAATGCTTTTGTCTAGAACTTATTCACATGACTATACCAGGCTGCTAAGTTCATTAGGAAATATCTTTTAGTTGAGTGGGAGTGTGCTACATCAAATAAGTTTGAGATTTTGTTCATGAGTAGGGGGAAGAAAAATGTTTGGGTGGGCAACTAGTGGCCTATACCACAGTCTATGGATGTAATCTAATTCTACATGTCTAAAAGTTTTGGAAAAGGGAAAAACATTGGTGCACACCTGGTTGTGCTTATGAATTTATATTTGCATAACAACTTGGAGACAGGCACTAGGCTAATCCCTGTTTTATTGGGTGAGAACAGTGAAATCCAGCTGATTGGTGGAATAGTAGAGCAGATGCCCCTGGTACCCCTCTCACATACACTTTTGGTTTTGGCCATAGCTGTGGTGGACAGTTCTGCGTAAACCCAGAGCTCCCCTGACACTACTCATACACTCCTCATGCCTTTCGACATTCTGCCTCAGGCACTTCTTCA